TGACTGGGTGACTGGGTGACTGTGTGACTGTGTGACTGTGTGTGTGACTGTGTGTGTGACTGTGACTGTGTGACTGTGTGACTGTGTGTGTGACTGTGTGTGACTGTGACTGTGTGACTGTGTGTGTGACTGGGTGACTGTGTGACTGTGTGTGTGACTGTGACCGTGTGACTGTGTGACTGTGTGTGTGACTGTGACTATGTGACTGTGTGACTGGGTGACTGTGACTGTGTGACTGTGACTGTGTGACTGGGTGACTGGGTGACTGTGACTGTGTGACTGTGTGTGTGGCTGTGTGACTGTGTGACTGTGTGTGTGACTGGGTGACTGTGTGACTGTGTGTGTGACTGTGACTGTGTGACTGTGTGACTGTGTGTGTGACTGTGACTATGTGACTGTGTGACTGGGTGACTGTGACTGTGTGACTGTGACTGTGTGACTGGGTGACTGGGTGACTGTGACTGTGTGACTGTGTGTGTGGCTGTGTGACTGTGTGACTGTGTGACTGTGACTGTGTGACTGTGTGTGTGACTGGGTGACTGTGTGACTATGTGACTGTGTGACTGTGTGACTGTGACTGTGACTGTGTGACTGTGACTGTGTGACTGTGTGTGTGACTGTGTGTGTGACTGTGTGACTGTGTGACTGTGTGACTGTGTGACTGTGACTGTGTGACTGTGTGTGTGACTGTGTGACTGTGTGTGTGACTGTGACTATGTGACTGTGTGACTGTGTGACTGGGTGACTGTGACTGTGTGACTGTGTGACTGTGTGACTGTGACTGTGTGACTGTGTGTGTGACTGTGTGACTGTGTGTGTGACTGTGTGACTGTGTGTGTGACTGTGTGTGTGACTGTGACTATGACTGTATGACTGTGTGACTGGGTGACTGTGACTGGGTGACTGTGTGTGTGACTGTGTGACTGTGTGACTCTGTGTGTGACTGTGACTAGGTGACTGGGTGACTGGGTGACTGTGACTGGGTGACTGTGACTGTGTGACTGTGTGTGTGACTGGGTGACTGTGTGACTGTGTGACTGTGACTGTGTGACTGTGTGTGTGACTGTGTGACTGTGTGACTGTGTGTGTGACTGTGTGTGACTGTGACTGTGTGACTGTGTGTGTGACTGGGTGACTGTGTGACTGTGTGACTGTGTGTGTGACTGTGACTGTGTGACTGTGTGTGTGACTGTGTGTGTGACTGTGTGACTGTGTGACTGTGTGTGTGACTGTGACTGTGTGACTGGGTGACTGTGACTATGTGACTGTGTGACTGGGTGACTGGGTGACTGTGACTGGGTGACTGTGACTGTGTGACTGTGTGACTGTGACTGTGTGACTGTGTGACTGTGACTGTGTGACTGTGTGTGTGACTGTGACTATGTGACTGTGTGACTGTGTGACTGTGTGTGTGGCTGTGTGACTGTGTGACTGTGTGACTGTGACTGTGTGACTGTGTGTGTGACTGGGTGACTGTGTGACTATGTGACTGTGTGACTGTGTGACTGTGACTGTGACTGTGTGACTGTGACTGTGTGACTGTGTGTGTGACTGTGTGTGTGACTGTGTGACTGTGTGACTGTGTGACTGTGTGACTGTGACTGTGTGACTGTGTGTGTGACTGTGTGACTGTGTGTGTGACTGTGACTATGTGACTGTGTGACTGTGTGACTGGGTGACTGTGACTGTGTGACTGTGTGACTGTGTGACTGTGACTGTGTGACTGTGTGTGTGACTGTGTGACTGTGTGTGTGACTGTGTGACTGTGTGACTGTGTGACTGTGTGTGTGACTGTGACTATGACTGTATGACTGTGTGACTGGGTGACTGTGACTGGGTGACTGTGTGTGTGACTGTGTGACTGTGTGACTCTGTGTGTGACTGTGACTAGGTGACTGTGTGACTGTGTGACTGTGACTGGGTGACTGTGACTGTGTGACTGTGTGTGTGACTGGGTGACTCTGTGACTGTGTGACTGTGTGACTGTGACTATGTGACTGTGTGACTGGGTTACTGGGTGACTGTGACTGGGTGACTGTGACTGTGTGACTGTGTGTGTGGCTGTGTGACTGTGTGACTGTGTGACTGTGACTGTGTGACTGTGTGTGTGACTGGGTGACTGTGTGACTGTGTGACTGTGTGTGTGACTGTGTGTGACTGTGACTGTGTGACTGTGTGTGTGACTGGGTGACTGTGTGACTGTGTGACTGTGTGTGTGACTGTGACTGTGTGACTGTGTGTGTGACTGTGTGTGTGACTGGTTGACTGGGTGACTGTGTGACTGTGTGTGTGACTGTGACTGGGTGACTGGGTGACTGGGTGACTGGGTGACTGTGTGACTGTGTGTGTGACTGTGACTATGTGACTGTGTGACTGTGTGACTGTGTGACTGTGACTGGGTGACTGTGACTGTGTGACTGTGTGACTGTGTGACTGTGTGACTGTGTGACTGTGACTGTGTGACTGTGTGTGTGACTGTGTGACTGTGTGTGTGACTGTGACTATGTGACTGTGTGACTGGGTGACTGTGACTGGGTGACTGTGACTGTGTGACTGTGTGACTGTGACTGTGTGACTGTGACTGTGTGACTGTGACTGGGTGACTGTGACTATGTGACTGTGTGACTGGGTGACTGTGACTGGGTGACTGTGACTGTGTGACTGTGTGTGTGGCTGTGTGACTGTGTGACTGTGTGACTGTGTGACTGTGACTGTGTGACAGTGTGTGTGACTGGGTGACTGGGTGACTGTGTGACTGTGTGTGTGACTGTGTGTGTGACTGTGACTATGTGACTGGGTGACTGTGACTGTGTGACTGTGTGTGTGACTGGGTGACTGGGTGACTGTGTGACTGTGTGTGTGACCGTGACTATGTGACTGTGTGACTGGGTGACTTGGTGACTGTGTGACTGTGTGACTGTGTGTGTGACTGGGTGACTGGGTGACTGTGTGACTGTGTGTGTGACTGTGACTATGTGACTGTGTGACTGGGTGACTGGGTGACTGTGACTGGGTGACTGGGTGACTGTGACTGGGTGACTGGGTGACTGGGTGACTGAGTGACTGTGACTGGGTGACTGTGACTGTGTGACTGTGTGTGTGGCTGTGTGACTGTGTGACTGTGTGACTGTGTGTGACTGGGTGACTGTGTGACTGTGTGACTGTGTGTGTGACTGTGTGTGTGACTGTGTGTGTGACTGGGTGACTGGGTGACTGTGTGACTGTGTGTGTGACTGTG